CTGACGCACTTGGCCGACTAGACGCTGCAGGCATCCACTTATTTGCAAGCATGAAGTGATTAACGATGTCTGCGGAAGTTGATCAATATGCATACTATTTGTCTAAGTATGCTGTGTGTGTGAACGTAAATTGTTAGATTGACACTTGTACACGGACGACGAACAAGTTGAAGTTCATTTTTTTTGGTTGTGCTAACAGTGTTAAGTCGGCTTAATTATTTTTCTGCTGTTGGGTCAACTGAGACAAGTTTAAAAAAAAATGCCTTGGAGCGATTCGGTGGTTCCCCAGCTTTTCTGCAGAGCTCTCTTTTATAGATATAACAATTGTCACCCCCTAGCCCCCCCCTCCCCCCCACACACACACACTTACATATTGACAGCTAATGTTCAAAGCTCTACTGAACTTGATGGGAAACTCTAACTCCAACAAAACCACTGTTCTCATTGAACGAAGTTGATAATGGTACAAACCGGTAACTTTTCCCCCACTGTGGTTCAAATGAGGAAAATATTAAATTGAAATTCATTTGTCTTCCTCTACCTCCTCTGTAGCAGCGCCCCCACTGTGGAGGCCACAGATATGGTTTTAGAACAACAAAATGTTTTGTTTTTTTCTTTTACTTTACTTAGGAACATGGTTGAACGGTCAAATACTGTCACTGCAGTTTGTCTCATTTAAACTACTTCCCCAACATATTCAATATTCCCTAAATCTGCATCCCGTTGTGGGGACCACCCCCTATTTTGGGAACCAATGGGAAAGTTGATTGCCAAAGTTTCTGTTGGTCTGTGAGTATTAGTACACATAGCACTCATGCAGCTCATTATCCAGCCGTTTACGTTGTCTACAGAGGAGGGTTAGTATTGAATTTCAAGTGCTACGGTACCTTTACTCAACAATAATAAAATATACCGTTGTTTATAAAGTGAAATTGCGCAGTAAAGGTGGACGCTTTAATGTGTGCTTTTCGTCACTGAGATTGAATAACATTCCAGACAGCAGTGTAAGAAAGCACCCGCTGTTTTGGTTAAAAATGAGACAGAACAAACGCTGGCATGTTGCTGTGAACCGCTACATGCCTGAGCAGCGAGCGTTTACGTTGGAGGCGAGAGGCGAGGCAGTATTTCATCAGGAGCGTGCCTCGCCGCGAGCCACGGATTAAAACGTTACGTTTCCTCCAAGGGGCTCCCCGGCCCATCTCCCAGCCATCGCTTTTTAGTGGGAAAATAAGGGAGACGAAGTCTGATGGGACACAGGGAGCGGAAGAGACAGAAAACACAGCGTTATCAAGTGTAATGGTTGATAGATTGTCATTTTTTTATTTTTGTGTGTGTGTGTTGGCGTGTAGAATTTTTGATTCAATAATAATTGATTTTCCTTTTTGATTCACTTATGCAGCGTTGTGCCGCCAACATGCAGCTACTGCTGACTTAGGTACGACCTCGGCTCTATATCATCCATGTTGCACTGGTTTATTTACAACTGCCTTTCAGTCCTTGATCAGAAGAAGTTTCTAGATCAATGTGATTTTGATGTCAGGAAGACACTTGGTAAAAATCAGTTTTGTTAGAAATACAAGTCAAAATGTAATGATATTTTAAGAGCTTCACATTGTGTCAGTCACAGTGAACAAAAGCAACCACTGTGGTCTCAGTATTTTAATAAAGTCATTTTGCCTTAGGGTGTTTTATTTTTATTATTTTTTCTTTTTTGAAATGCCTTCCAACTGTTCAGGAAAACGAGTTTTACCCTTTTGGCTTCAAACGCAGCAGAAACTGCAGTCATTGGACATAAGTCACAAATGCAGTTTAAACAGAGAATTTCTGTGTGCTTTTGATTAAGGATATGGACTTTTGTCTTTGACTTTTATTGGTTTAAATTGCATTAGTAGTATTGCTGTGGTATTTCACCCATTACACTTCCTGTCCTGATTTATTATCCCGTTCCTTTTACATTTATTGTATTGTATTTGTACTTATAACTTTGTTTTTCGGGAATTTTCTTGACTTATTAAAGAGCTTAGTTTGTTTTGCGTACGCCTTGCCCTTGTTGGCTGACAAATCCTTTGTAGTATGTGCACAATACATATTCTCAGTATATTAGATTCTGCAGTAGCAGAGGAAACGCACACTTTCTTCTCTCATTAAAACCCCAGACAAACCCGAGCACAAAGTCTCACGCAGCTCCCTCTCAACAACAACAACTTTGTTCAGGAGCTCTTATATCCGTGTGCAGGAGAAGAACCTCCTGCTGCTGCTGCTTCTCCGTTTGTGTTTTACTCATTTCTCTTTTGTCTTGAAAGATCTAAACGGACTCGGACAGTGGGATGCGGTGGTTATTTGTTCCTCTTGTAGAAGAAGTCCACTTTTATTAAATTGTCTTTGACGGGGAATAAATGTGTGCAGGCAGAAAGGTCCGGTGGTGTTTACAGCAAGAATCCCGCATCACGTTTGACCCTCGTAGCCACGTTGTCTCATTGTCAAACTATTTTCATTTATGTTTTTGACAATTTAACATATTTTTAGGACTGTCACAATTTTTTTTTTTTTTTGGTTAAATCTTTTTAGACATTTAAGCTCATCGGAGAAATGATGTATACTGTACATTCAATAATTCCACCATCCATCCACTTATTGTAGCTGGAACACAGTTTTCATTCACAGTAAGTTTTTGTTTCACCAACGCACCTTCAGCTGAAAATACACTTCCTACTGTTCACTTATTTAAATATATAAAATATGTATATATATATTTAAGTATATATATTTATGTCTATATATGTATATACATATATATATCAAGCTACTTTTTTACATATTGAAAACCACTTCATTATGTGTCATATCTTTCTTTTCCATGACACTTCCTACTAGTTTGTTTTTAAGTACACTACACTACTTCAGTGTTGACTATGCATAGACTAAACAGGGACTTCATTTTGGTGTTATTTGGTAATAACTAATCATGTGAGATATAAACTCCTGAATCTGGTAACCTATAAAATAAAACCAAGTATCATGAGCCATATTAAACCTTATATCCACAACTGTAAAAATGCTGACATCTTTGCAGAGGTTGTTTCTGCCTCCGCTATTGTCCTAGATCTCCGAGCGACAGTGATGTGAAGTTTGGAGAGGAAGCAGAGATTTTCATGAATCTGATTGGATTTAATGTCCGCTGCTTTCCGCTGAACACTTTAATGTCTCACAGGCCGTTGACTCAACAATTCTTCATGATGCTTGGGTGCAAATTGTCCCATGGCCTCATTTCACCTTTTCCGCGGTCATTTTCTCTACCCTGGCAGGGTGAATATATGCTGATGTCTCCTGTTCCTGTCCTTGTAAACAGGACAGATGTGGGCATAAAGGAAATTGTTACTTTACAAAAAGACAAAAAAGAAAGTCACACATTTTCTTTATTTAGCTGCGACTCCGTGCTCGGAAATAATTGTAAAACTGGTTAGTTTATAAGGCTCATTATACACGGATTACTAGCGATGTTTAAATGGCGCTATTAACAAACTCTCGCTGTTATCTGTCCTGAGAAATTAAGCTCATATTAAATTGTTTTTTTTTTTTGTAGAATCACATCAAGCAAGAAGAAAAAACAGTTTGCCTTTGGAAAACAAGTTAATATTTTTTATCTAAGGTTTTTGTGTTTTTCCACGTGTTTAAATTTTATGAGCTCGGCTGAAAACAAGGTGCAAACTGTCTTTACGTCATCTTTGCTAAAGACTAATGAAGTAATTATAGCATGTTTTAACTTTAGTATAGCTCTGTTTTTCTCAATTGTAAGTATATATGCTACACCTCTACATGCAGAATACATGGGTTTTAGTTTTACAGTGCAGTTAGTCACCATTAAGTAGAATTAGCAGGTGCAAAGGGAGAAATCTCACTTCCCCATCCTTCATCCATTTCTACTATTGCTTTTCCTTCATCTGCGCCCTGAGGCTTATTCAGTCCTAACTACACCTCGTGTAATGGCTCTGAAGAACTACTAAGCTTCTGAAAGACATGAATGAGGTCTTTGTTTAGTGGAAATGAAATGTTGCGGTGCCAATTTTTGTAATTGATGTGTTGTTTAATTTTTATACAGACCACTAGACCACTGCTGGTTTTAATCCATTTCCAGTTCGCTATTTCCATTTGAAAAATGGTGTCTACAGTTGAGTTTGCTTGTTGTGATTGTCACTTGATCCAGTCAATGGTTCTAATAAAGTGGCAGCAACTAAAATATATGAGCACTGGAGGTCAACGGGGAAAACAAATGTTTAAGGTAGCATTTGTAGGGTCAAAACAATGTCAAAAGAATTAGGCAAACCCATAAAATAATGAGCTCTGTGTGCAGGCATAAAGGCATTAATAGATTTAGGCTGTTCTGTGGACCTCCTGAAACTGGGAAATATTGATTTGTTGTCCTGTTTCTGATTCAGGGAAGTTTTATTTGCTTGCTAACAGCAAAACTACATTTTGCCACTGTATTCACTTTTATTATTATTATTATTTATTTATTTTCAAAGACATTAGCCTGAACTTAGATTAAAGGCGTTTTAGCCCCCTCTCCTGGCACATGCTCGAGACTATTTCACCACTTAGTCCACTCCAGTGGTTCTCAAACTTTTTCTACTCTGTACCACCTGAGAAAACATTGATCTCTCTGAGTACCACCATGATGACCAACATTAGAATATAGCAGCGTAGGCCTTCTCTGTTAGCTTCCACCACAGGAGAGATGTTTATAAATGTTTATAAAGATGTTTATGTTTAAATGCTGTATTAATTGTGCATGATATGTTTCAGATTTATTCAATTGAAAATGTGAATATTCCCCGCCTACCACTAGAGAGCGCTCGCGTACCACTGGTGGTTTGCACACCACAGTTTGAGAACCACTGGTCTACCATACATATTTCTTGACATTCTTATTAGGACACCAAGCTGTTGTTTTAATTTAGCTTCACTTATGTTTTAGCTTGAATTTTTTTTTCTTCTTCCAGGTATTGAATGTCCACGCAGTTCCAGGAATTTGCCTGGAGGCGTGCAGGTGGCCGAACCTTTCAGCGACGAGGCCATGCTGTTCACCAAAGAGCTAGTGCTGCAGAGGGAGGTAAGTGCTAATGCAGGGCTTTTTGGCCCCCAATTTCATCATTTTTCACCTCGTTTTAGTGTCCAGCCCCAGCAAGAAAACTCATAATGATCGTTCTGCCGCTCTGACTCCTGCGTTGACACTGAACACTTGTTTCTCAAGATTTCATATCAGAGAGCAGGAAAAGCATTGACCCTTCTTTACTTTAGAAAACAAACGGATAATTTCATTAGCTTTTTTTTGCATTTTATATATATATTAATTAATGACTACATGTGGTGAACAGCACAGTGTGAGGAAGTAATACTGAGGGACTTACTGTCAAATTACAAGTGCTCCTTTATTAGGTCATGTATGACTTGACTTGAATTATAGTATATGCAACAACACTGGAATATAGGCCTCATCTGGTATTTTTACACTAGAATTTTGTCAAATCCAAGTACAACTTGCACAACAGTTTTTTGTTACCCAGTAGTGGGTGCTCTAAAAACCCTAAAATACCTATTTAAGAAAAATGTGTTCAAAAACATATTACTATGTAACCAAACCAAAAGATTGAACACATTACATTAACAAAATGTTTTTAGAACTTTTGTTTACATAAAGAATTTTTGCTGGACATTTCAGGTAAATAAATACAGAGATTATTTCACGAATCATTCACGAAGAAAAAGGGTTCTTATAGAAGCAAACCGATTTTCGTTGAGTGGTTTTCTGTTTGGTGTTAAACAAAATGCTTGTCTGGAGCTCGTTCATTCAAAAATGAGGCCGCTGGGTTTTAGAACAGGAGGTCAGTGTAAACAGTTCTAAGTTTGAGTGAGAAATACTGCAGCGCATAAAGCACAGCGTGCGTAGCAGGGGCCGTTTGAAACCCCAACAAAAATGGACACAATCATAAAGTCTGCACACACGGATGCCCACACGCCATCCCGCCCGCACGCTCGCGGTTTATGGAAAGCTCACCTGATAGTGGATCAGTGCTCTTGGGCTTTAGAAAACTCCATCCACCGAGTGCCTGTTCATTCACATGCTAATAGGTTTTTTTTTTTTATAAGAGGCAGTGAATGGACCAAAGCCATGATGGGACTAGCTATAATCCTGCCTCCACTTATCCAGGCCACACACTCCCTCTGTCTTCAACACCGTTCTTTTTTTTTAAAAAAAAGGTCTTAACTTGTGGTGTGTGAGGTGGCTGACTTCACTGTCCTCTGGTCTTTAAAAGTCATGGAGGTGTAGCTTTGTCTACAGACGTAGGACAGCTGCTGTTACAAACTCCATCACTTGTTTTTCCCGCACCGCCAGCGCCGGTCATTATATGAACTTGGTGCTTACTTTTAGCTGTAATTAATCCGATTTAATTTAGCAATTTTTTGCCACCTGTGCCACACTGTTGGCTAATTTTTTTTTCCCTAAACATTTACATTTGTTGTGGTTTTAAGCTTAATTCTTCATGTATTCAGCCTATATTTTTTGCAAATTTTTGAGCGTCTGTTTGCACTATACTGTATATGCAGTATTTACTGTAGCCTGTGTTTGTGGTTCCATAGCTCCAGCTGTTATCACGCCTGCTCACACATCTGCCTAACACGCAGAAAGTCCCGTGTTTATGTCCCAGAGGGACCACATACAGTATGTGGCGCCACCAAGGGGCAGCCTGTTGCAGCAGATATGTTGTTGACACAACAATATCCTCGTTGTGGGATCAATAAAGTTCCTCGTACCTTTATTATGTTTCAGCAGATCATCGGTTATTTCTCTTCTGCAGATAAAACTTCTTACCCTGCCCGTAATCTCCTGCGTACACCAAAAAACACACTCGCTGCTTACAAATTTTCTCCCCTGCCGTTCAGTTGTGATGTTGGCAAGTTTGTCACAGGTAGGTGGGCGTACACAGGCAGGACCCAGCTACATAACGAGTCCTGAGCTCGGTGCGTGGGCTGCTGGTTTGGCTGCACTGACCCGCTGTTATGGGCTAATATGAACACAAACACACACTCAAGTGACACATTCTAGTGGAAAGCACTGTTTAGCACTGGCACACAAGAGCTGTCGAAAAAATGTCCCCAGAAAACGGGAATCATTATGCAACAGTAAGTTAAAAAACGACTGTGGGCTCCTCTGTTCAGACGTTCATGGGAGGTAGTAGAGAGAGAGAGAGAGAGGAAAAAAAGTGACAGCTCACACACACCTAGCTGAGGAAAAAAAGTGTCTAATGATAGTCTAATGTCATACAATGCCTGGCGGTGGAACAGCAGGGAGTTGTACAGGGAGAAACTTGAGCAAAAGAGGTGAGAGCGAAAAAGTACAGGAGGCTCTGAGGAAAGATGTGTGGATGGCAGCGGAATTAAAGAGCCCACGGATGATTGACAGCGAGAAGCCGTTCCTGCCCTTGATCCAAACTCCCATTTCTGTTGAGTCCCATCACCGTAGAGCCGAACAAGTGCTCACCTGAACACTGGGTCATTAAGGTGTGTGCCAATATGAATATGGATCATTGGATTTCATTTGCATAAGATTTCGCTATTTATCCGCCTGTGAATGGCCCCGTGATTGCGGCAGCCTTCTGAGGATGTCGCCGAGATGGTCTCATGTGAATAACGTTTGATTTGAGTTTGGATCGTGTATTTATTTGCATTCATCAAATATTTTTTCCCAGACATTCCCAGTCATCTCCAGCCTTTTAGGGCTTTGCTGATGTGATGACATGTTGACTCAATGGTCATGTTGTTGTTTTTCTTTTTTTTCTCCCAGCACTTTTCATTTCACTGCTCTATAATTAACCGTTCCCTTTTTCTGTCGGATTTGATGGTTGAAGGCAGGAATGGGCTCAGTCCTTGTGTTTTCTTTTTTTTCCTTTTAATTCTAATGCCTTTACTCTCGACTCTCCTGTGTGTCCCCTACTCCTGTGTCCAATAAAAACCGTTGATTGACACGCGCTCTTGGCCTCCTCCGTCCTCACCTGCCGTCTCACCAGTTCTCTCTCAATTTCCTCTCTTTCAAACTGTCAGCCACATCTTAATTTCTCCCGCAGCTGACATGCATAAATAATGTGGCTTCCAGTGAGGGGAGCAGTCCTGATTCCTTGTCTTCTGTATTTAGAAAATAAAAAAAAAAAAACCCTCTGTCTCACTTCCTCACTCTCCCTCCATGTCTCTATGGTGATTCTCTCTCTTTCAACGTTTCTCTCTCTCAACGACTCCCTCTCTTTTCAAAAATCCTCTTTGAGTTTATCTGCTTTGTCCGTCTCCCCCTGTGCTTTTCCTCTCTGTGTAGTGTTAATCTTTGACAGACACTGCTCCCGTTCCCAGCGTGCAACCAAAACAGCGGCGCCGAAAATCTGAGGGGGGGGTGAGAAAACATATCGGTAAACAGCACTTTCTAGACATTTTCATTTCCCCCTTTTTTTGATGTCTTCCATTTGATTCCTTTCACCTCCTGCCTTTCCATTGGCTTAAAACAAATCCATTTTTGCCGTCTCAGTCACTGAGCAAATCTATTAATTTTTCTGTGTTTTTACTTATGACAACTCTAAAGGCTGATCTCAACCGGGAGGGAGACGAGCACATCTTTTTGAAACGACACAGTTAGACAAGGGATGTAATAAGTTATAGAGTGTTGAAACCTTGAAGATGTGAAACAATATTTGAACTATTCCCGGCTCTCGCGGTGATCTATGTTTAATGAGCATCAATTTAAACCAAGAAGCCTGGACATTTCTGACAGTAAGTGACAGTTAACAAAAATCATCTACTTGTAATGCAGGTAATTTCTCATCACAGATGAAATGTTTTGCAATAAGTAGCTGTGAAACATCCCCCAACCCCCTCCGAAACGAGGAACATCCTCTGATTGAAACATCCGACGTTTAGATTTCCTGCCGTGTAATTGATCACCAAACAGCAGGCAAGGAAGGAGGGAAGAAAGGAGGAAGGAGGAAAGAATAGGGAAGTAGTGTGACGCATAAACAGGGTATTTGATCAAGCAGGGATAAGAGCGGGCTAAATGGACGATAATAAGTGATGTACTCCTCCACCAACGCACAGTGTCAGTCCTATTGACCTCATTCAGTCTGGGTGGTCTCTTATCTACTGTTCTGTAGATGCAGCTGCCTACTCATAACCATTATCAAACTCTCTATCTCCAGATACAAAATTTCTTTTTTTATATATTTTGGGTGTGTAATAAAGCACCGAGGCCTTGACAGGTTTTCAATAAAAACAATTTTTCAGAACTATCAGATCTGCCTTAAAGCTACAAACAAAATGGTTGTGGTAAGATTTTAATAAACAAATCCAATTTAATTTTCAGCAGTTGTCTTTGTATATTATTAAATCACATTTTAACACCTAAAATTGTGATGAATGTTAGAAAAAAAATGATAGCTTAAAGGACACAAGCCTCCTGTTTTCACCTAACAGACTAACACGTTCCAGATCTGCAGTTTAAACTCTGCATTGTTTTTTTCCTTTGGTTGCATTTTGTATTCAATATTTTTTCATTTTAGTTTTGCAATTCACTTCCCCTTGAAGGGCCGGTTGTAACTAGAAGACTGTATAGATCAGGGGTCCCCAACATAGGTCATTCGGTCTGGGCCGCAGTGGGACACAGTGGAAAAAATGTACTTAATCTTTACTAATTTACTTAATTCAAAGAAAGTCCAGTCATATCCATTTACTTTTTTAAATTTTAAGATAAATTAATTTTATAGGTTAAAAACCTCTGCTGTATGGACTTCCCGCGGGCCACACAAAACGGCTTGGCGGGCCACATTTGGCCCCTGGACCTTGAGTTTGACACATATGGGCTATGAGGACATCAGCGTGGTTCAAATGTTACATTTTCGATATGCCATAGATATGGCTGCGTATGGACAAGAATCTCGAGATACAATATATATTACGATATAATGCGATACTAAAGGCGATATTGATTTTCTTTTTAAACAATTTGATTGTAGGAAAAATGTCAGCAAAGTAAACGCACACTCACAAGCACAATAAATGGTAAACATTTGGTTA